CAGTTTTTTACTAGTTCTCATAGTATCCTACAGCAAGTTATTATTACAGTTTTTTACTAGTTCTCATAGTATCCTACAGCAAGTTATTATTACAGTTTATTACTATAACTTATTCAGATGATAAAGGCTTTTATGATTTCTTACAAATGAGCAACATCTATTAGTTATTTTCATTATCAGTTAAAATTCTTAAAATTTTTATTGGCAAAACTGTGCTCTAACTTGATGTTTCCTTTGCAATAGTGATATCAACTTAATATTCATTCACAATTATAAATAAAAAAAGACTTACTGGTTGCATTGTCATATTTGTACTCTTGGGTGTCATTTTTATTTTCCTGTTTTTCTCTTTCTCTTTCCAACTGATCCTTAAACTCTTCAAACCGACGAGCTGGGCCTTGATTGTTGGGATCAAAAAATTCAGTAGTGTTTCGGCCACATATCAATACTTGGACTAAGCGGGCAGTTGTGTTGTAACTTTCAAAACTAAGAAAATCTTGCACATGTTCCAGTGAAATTTGGATATTGTTTTGTAATTCCCATAAACTTTCTAAATTTGCAGCCTGAAAGAAGGTAATGAATAACCATAAAACTTTATCAGAACAAAAGAAATCTCATTCCAGGTGAGCATTACCAATGAATATCAGTTCACAAAGTAAGAACAGATTAAAGTTTAAAGACATTTAAACATTGCTAAACATGATGAAAAAGCTCACATTGTTCTGGTAGATCAGTCTCTTAAAACATCAAAGCAGTGTGTTGTTTCTAGTGGTAGAGCATACAGGATTTTAGGTTGTATCTATAGAAATACTGAATACAAGTCTAAACATGTTGTAATGTCATTAGATAGGCCTCATCTGGAGCACTGTGTTCAGTCTTGGCCTCTTTATCTTAGGAAGGACATTGATCTTTAGAAAGAGTTCAGAGGAAGGATACTAGGATGATACCTGGGACAGAAAGTTTGTTATATGAGGATAGGTTAAGATCTCTGAAATTGTTTTCTCTTGGAAAAAGGAAGAATTAGGTTGAATCTGATAAAGGTGTTCAAGATGGTTAAGGGAACTGAGAGGGTTGATGTATCATCTTTTTTTATACTTAATGGTGAAAACTGTAGGAAAGGGCACACAAATATAAATTTTGGCAGAGCAGGAGTTATTTTCAATTAAGAAGGTTATATTTTTATAACAGGGTGATTGGCCTTTGAAATGCGTTGCCTTCAGATGTGGCAGATACAGTTAATTTAAGGGAGTTTAAGAGAAAGGTTGATAAATATTTGAATAATAAGGTCTAGCTTCGAGTTTTTCTTTAAAGTTTAATTTAAATGTCCCAATAGGTCCTTTTTTTGTCCTTATATTTTATGTTATATTGATCAATTGTTTAGACACTTATGATGAACAATATGACATTTAGTGAAAACTTACAGCATTTGTAGCTTTCAGCAGAAAAACAAGTCTTTCTCAGGAAACCATCTCAAATATATGATCAACAATCTCTTGGAGTAATGTTGGAATAACTTATGATAAAAGTTACAAGAACTTGATTTGGAAAATGTGGGACACAAAACTTAACATCTACAAAATATCTGAAAGATTATGAAAAGTTCTCCAAGAACACTTTATTTGCCATTTTAAAATACTCTTATGGGAACCCAGATTTTGAAACTTAATGATATATAGAATATTTTATCTACTAAAACCTTACCACTGTTTAAAAGTATTGTTCCTATTGTCACAAGCTCATCTGCTTGGTTTTAGAACAATTGTTTGAAAGTTTAAAATACAAAAGGCTGGGCATGTTATATTAAATTGATTTTGAGTATGCAAATCAGAAAATCACAGGACAACCACAGTGGATATAGAATTGTGGTAGAATGGAAAGTGAAAGTATCAAAACTATATTTTCACATTGTTTGGCATTACGTGGGTAATGTGATGCCACCAAAAACTGATTGCTTTTGAGAATGGTATATAGAAGCCCCTTCCTGATGCAAAATATTCTTACTTTCAGATAATAAAGCAGTGTTGACATCATGGATTTAAAATTTCCAAAATGTAGATACCCCTTGTAATTAATGCTGCTGCAAAATAATGGAGTATGGATCAACTTATGATAGCAGGACAAGCCAAAAAAGTCTGCAACAAGCTGTAAGTCAGTCATGATAAGTAAAGTGTGGTGTCTTGTAATTAATGCTGCTGCAAAATAATGGAGTATGGATCAACTTATGATAGCAGGACAAGCCAAAAAAGTCTGCAACAAGCTGTAAGTCAGTCATGATAAGTAAAGTGTGGTGTCTTGTATAGGTGAAAAACACAAAGATCAGTGGAAAAAAAAATAAACTAAATGTAGGCAGTATAGATATTAAAGTAAGATCTAGTGCCAACTTTCTTGGTGTAATATTCAATAGAAAACTTAAATGGGTAGAACACACAAGAAAACTTTTTGAGTCAATCAGTAAGTGCATTAACCACTTCAAACTTGTCATTGGACAAAATAAAGGTTATTCATCAGAAACTATCTTAAAAATCCACAAGACATACATAAGTCCAATCATAGAATATGATGCCAAGTCACTTACAACATGTCAAACAGTATTCTCAAGAAACTACAGTTTCAACAGAATTGAGTCTTAAGATTAGCCCTAAAACTCCCAAGATACCCCTGTTAACTATTTACACCAAGCAGGCAATATCCCCCCCCCAAAGAAAGAATATTTAAACTTACTCACAAGGTCGAATCAAGAAATTCTCTTACATCTACACTACACAAAATCTCCAGAGTGTCCCATAGGATGCTATCACCCTACAACTTATACCTTAAACAAACACACACTAATAACAAATATCACCCAATAACTGAGGGCTCCCCACATCCATGTGTTGTATCATTATAATAATCATGTCTTGCCTTTCAGCCTTGGCACAGAACAAGTATACTAATTCATTACTTGTCCTGTGAAAGTGGGTTTTCCTGAGGTATACGTGTCCCCCCCCACATCCAATTCTGAGGCATAGAAGTTGTAGCTCCCCACCACCCTGAAAAAGTGCTGTCTAATTTTCACAGTAGAAATTTCATTCACACAAGCCTCCATGTTCAGTAGCTCAATCTCCTCAACACAAGTCATCATCATTTTGCCATCTTTTGCATCTACCAACTATCACGTTAGTTCTAAAATCCTTCTCCTTGTGTGAAGAGGAACAACCATATTCCTGTATATTCCAGTTGGGTTAGGTTCTCAAAACTCATCTTTGAACTAAGTACCTGTCTTTGTCAAATTCAAAAGAATTCAGTGGCAAAGGTCATCCATGTGTGCCAGGCAACAGTACCCAACATAACCAAAAAGTATGTGTATGGAAAGGCAGAAGAAGTCATGTGTACACAAGTTTCTTCCACAACATATCCATTCAACTGTTTCATACATCAAACAACTGGAGAACAAAATGGGTAATCATACTATTCCATACAAAAACATACCAGTCAAATTAATGAATGCAGAGCTTGTGGATTTCTGATCAAACTACTGAAACAGGCACTGGGAAACCTCTATCCTTGTATAACTCTTTCAGCACGGGCTCGGTCCCTGGGACCA